AAGCTATCTTTTGTTCTATATTGATCTAGACTTTCTCAATTGTATTATTGATCGACACTTTCAATTCCTTAACATACAATTAAATTTCTCTAAAATTCTCCATTCTCCTCTAATTCTCTTTTATTTTGTTGCATTACTACTCGCTCTTCATTTGTTTGATCAAAGCCTTGGTTTCTTCAACCATAGCCATATTCTAGATATCGATTTTCTCTATTAAGCATTTAATGCAAAGATATTTATCTTCATCAGCAGTTGACTGCTTTAGATCTACTGTCTTTATTTTTAGCTTATGTTTTTGGCATATTTTTTTTTCTAATTCAGAAGACATTTTTTTTTTAATTATAATAAGATTTTAATTTAATAAATCATTTTTATATACTTGGAATTAAGAATTCATCATAGTATAATATGATTGGTGATTAACTGATTTGAAAAAATTGATACTACTTAAAGGAGTAAATAGTAAAAATAATTGAGGATTGCTGATTGAATAAGAATATAATTAATTTAATGTCATACTTTCAAGATAGAATCGATTAAATATTCAATCAATTAAACTTACAAATAACTTTCTTAAAAATATCGACTGTCATAATATATCTTTTAGTTCCTTTTGTAGAATTTATCATATGGGAAAGGAAAGAAAGTATAATGATAAAGGTTAATTATTTTTAATAATTTTAAATTATTTGTAACAAATATTTAGTATTGGAAATGAAAAAGTTTCAAAATTAAGAGATATAAAATATTGCAACTAAAAATAATTCGGAGCTTGATGCATATTGAATAGCATTACTCAGAGGATGAAGAATATTCAAAATAATTTGGAAATGGAGTAAATTTTTATTTTAATTTATGAGCATTAATTATTACATATTAAAACTTCATTAATAAAGTTAGCTTTGCTGAAAATTTACTACCAAAATTTAATTATAAAGAAAGATTCTTTTCTTACTAAAAGAGATTTAATAATTGCTTCTCTTTAATAAATGATTTGAGAGGTAATATTCTAAAATAATCCAACTGAAATTAAAATGTTTCAAGAGAACTTTAGAAGTTTAGTTAAGTAGCTTTAAAGAGTTCACGCAGATTAAAAGATTCGTTTATAGTATGTTAACCCTCAATATAGAGTTATTTAGATATTCTCAAAAAGTGAGTAATTTAGATATTTACCGATGTTGTAAAGGAGCAAATAGAATTGAAAGGATTTTCGGTTTAAGAATTTTTAAGATCCTTTTTTAAGGTTGTTTTTTCAAATATTTTTGAGATTAGCAGTAGGAAAATCTGAAGGTTTGTATATGGTTCTACAAAATTATTTCAAATCTAAGGAGATAACTAAATTTTTACCTTAGAAATAACATTAAACTATTATAGGCCTGAATTACCCATAATTAAGTATTAGGGAAGAATTTTAATAGGAGTCATGAATTATATATTTAATAGTGCTAGGCTCTCTTTAAATAAGAAGGAAATGAAGGAGTTATTGATAGAATTAAATATTAAAGGTAGTAAGTCATTTGTCAGAAGAGATTATTGATTTAATGATAACTTTCATGATCTATTTATAGGCATATATGTCAATCTCTGTTTCAAAATATTTACTATTAGTTTTAAAATATAATAGGATAGGATTAAATTGCAGTCGGTAAGCAGTTGATTATTGGCATCACCCATTACATTGAACCTCCTTCTTTATCTTTAAGATTACAACTATGATTTTTGAATTAAAAGGATCATCCTTATGAATTCTATTGATAAGAGCTAAGTTTTTGTATAGTCAATTAACTTGGCTTAAGGGTAAAATTTAACAATCACTTAATACTTAAAGTATTATGAAGTTGCTATATATGATATTTTAAAGTGACAAAACCTATAAAGTTTGGGCAATCACTTGAACTAATTTTAGGGAAAATTGACTAATAGTCTCTTTTCTTTTCATTTTAGCTTTAATACCTTGAAATTAATTGCAAGAATATCAGCTTTTTATAGAAATTAATTCGAAAAATAAAGAATCAATGATCCTTCCATAACATCAAGTGAGCATAAAACTTTATGACTTAAATTAAGAAAGGATCTTTTTAATCTGAAACTACAACATAAATCAAAATCATGTTAGTCAACTTCAGCCAGACTAAGACTGGGCGTTACTATATCCCCCTTGTGCAGTGACAATTGTGAAAACAATAACACAATTAAGACCATCAGGTATTAGGATAGATTATCCTCAACTTCTCCAAAACCATGGTTGCCCATTAGCACGATAGGAAAGATATGCTGTGATTCATTAGTATCATTCTGGCAGAGTGTTTGCTCGTAATTTCATCTCTAATTAGATCCTCTTAACATTATTCCGGAATATTCCAACGGCCTTCTTAACTTAATGCTATGCTCTCATGTTGATCCCTCTGACTTAGAAGTTTACTAGTAGTAACTTTAGCCCAGGAGTTCAGAATCTACTCTTATATACCCGACAATGAGTTTAAAAGCTAGATAGCCTAGACTAATTTCTCTAAGTTGGCCTACCACTTCTTCAGACTAAATATTTGGTATTCCACATTCTACAAAAGAAAGAGAAGCTCAGTGTATGTATCAATTAGCAATTTGATATCCATAAGTTGTAAGTTATTTGCCCATACTCCATTTACAACCATCATTATATTATTCCCTTCCAAGATACTAGTTACACCCCTTCAGTGTCAGAAAAGGCATCTCAAATGAATAATAGTCATCTACCCTCCTTCTTAAATTGAAGCCTTGAGGTTGAATGTAGATTTTCGCTGAAAATAAAATCTTTTTTTAATTTTTTTATTAAAAACATTTAGATTCCAGGAAAATAAAAATTTTTTAATTATTAATGTTAAGGTTTAGGCTTTTATTAAGTGCATTATTTTATTTTAATATTGAATTGGAAACTAAAAGAAAAACTTTAAAATTTAGCTTTGAATAGATTTTATATTATCATTTCTAAAAATATTACACCTTCCTAGCAAGCAAAATATCCAGCAAAAATTTGACAATTTAATTTATTTTCATTAAGATGTGCAGGTGATTTTTACATAATGCTGTTAAGCTATGAATAAACTTTGGTAGAAGATTGTTTCAACCTAAAAGTAATCAATACCATTTATATCATCATTCTTTAAATTTTATGCGCAATTTAAATTATTTTGGCATACAATGAATTAGTATTTCTAAATTAGTTATTGTAATTTTTAGAAAAGCTTTCTCAAATAATTTTAATTCTAATTGTCTTTCCTATTATTTTAATTTAAGTTGTAAATTTGATTAACTTCAGAAAATAGTCCTCATTTAACAAAAATGAAAAATCTAGATACTTGCGAAAAAAAGTCTCTTTCGTGATTCTATTATCAATATTTCTCAAGAAATAATAATATGATTCTCATTCATTTATTTAGGCCATTTAATCATTAAATTCTCTTAGTTTATACGACACCTATTGCACATATATTTTTCGATATTGTTGTGTATTTATTTAAGAAAAAGCAGTGTAGCTAAATTTTTTGTTTATGATCATGACTTTCAATTTTTCAAAATTTCTACATTATAATTACTTAAAAATTTTCGATAATAATTAACAAAATATCTTATTATTAATAATTACGTCAATGTCTTCTGAAGAAAAAAAGTTTTGCTAAAAGCACAAGCTTAAAATAAAAACGATAGATTTAAAGCAGTCTACTGCTGAAGAAGATAAATATCTCTGCATTAAATGCCTAATTGAAAAAATTGATACATAAAATATGGCACTAGTAGAAGAGACAAAAACAATGATTAAATAAATGAAAAGTGAGTAGTTGAACAACAAAATTAAGGAAAATTAAAGAAGAATTGATAACTTTAGACAAATTCAATTACAGGTTAAAGAATTAAAAGTTTCCATTGATAATACAATTGAAAAAATCTCAAGTAATATATAATAAAAAATTTAATTAATGGAGAAAGAATTAGAAGATTCAGAATCAAAAACTCAACTGACTTCGTTTGAAGATGATGTTAATATTTTATCGAGAAATTACAAAGGATCATTCAGCTTTGAAGTACCAAAAGAATTAGATATTTCTATTTGTGACAATTAATTAATTGATTCCATATAACAATAGTTACAGGCAATTATAAAAAGCCCATAATTTGTCTAAATCAATGAAACATTAGAAAAAACTAAAGTGGAAGAAAAAACTAAAGAAATTAAATAACTTCAAGTTCTTTCAAAAAAGGAGGAAGATACATAAGTAATAGTAATCATATTAACTAAATAGAAGACACCAAGCTTAAAGATTTAATGTAATAAACATGGAAAAGAGATTATAATGTTTAATTTAAATCCTGAGAAAACTAAGCTCTCAAGAATGGCTTGTATTGAGTGCATTTAATCAAATGATCCTATCAAATATACTACCATTAATGATGCTAGTTTTAAATGGAATGAATACTTAGGATAAGCAAGTGATTAAGTTTAAAAATTTTAGAATTAAAGATCGCTCAAATCAACATAAATTATTGAGATTCTTGAAGACACAAAAGAAAAGTAAAACTAAATAATATCAGAAATAATTAATAAAGTTAAATCATAAACCTCTATGTATTCGCTGAATGAATGTAATGGATTCAATTAAAATATAATCATTGAAATGACAGCTGAATAAGTTAATGAATTTACAGAAATTTTGAGTCAGACTGATAAATTTTAAGCTTTAGCAGACAAATAATTTAATATTGAAAAAGAGGATTTTGATTAAATTTAGGGTATTTCAAAAAATTTCGGTTAGTTGTTATCAAATAATTTGATAACAACTGAAAAGATAAATAAGATTATTAAGGATTGGACGAAAAATGATAATGTAGATAAATATATAAAAGATGAAATAACACAAGAAGAAAATAGTATTCCTAATTAAAAATAAATTGGAAATCTTAATTTATAATTGCAATAATTCAATTTATATCAGGAAATCTTTAAGGACACGTTAAAGTAATATGAATCAATATAACAAACTATAAATAAGCTTTCTAATCAGTTTCAAAATGAAGAATTGCAAGAAGTATTTATTTAATCTTGCATAGTTTAATTAATTGAAAACTAAGTTTGAGGGAGACTCATCCCTAATAAAGAAGATAATTACGTATGATTAGTTCTAGATCGAATTGAATAAAATCAAGGAAAATGAAGCTGAGCTGATATAACTTAAGGAAGTCTTGAAAAATCAATTAGCAGAAAGTGAAAAAAGAAATTAAGATAATTTGGAAGTGATAACATAGTTAAAGAAACATGAAGCTGAATAAATCTTATAAATTTAAGATTTAAAAGATTAAAATAAAGAATTAAATAGTAAATTGAAATTAATTGAGGAATAAAGTAATTATTAAATTCTATTAAATATCTAATAGAAACATAATGTGATGTATAACTTAAGGAGAAACAAACAGAATTAGAAATCAGTTAAAAATCTAATCAGAAGAATGAAGAAATTGTTAAATAATTAGAATTAAGTTTGGTAAAAGTAAAAGTTATATTTAAAGTAG